GCAGTGAATATGCCTAGGGTGAATAATCCAAAAGTTAATATACAGTAATAGTGCAGTGATAATGCATGTAATATGCAGTGACTAATGCAGGTAATAAGTATACATAATTAGCAGTGATAATGCACGCTTAATATTTACAGTAATAATATGCAGGATCATGCAGTAAACTATGCAGGTGATAACTGCAGTTTAATAATTCAGCTAATATGGCAGTGCATTAAGCTTGCAGTAATATGCAGTGATAATGCAGCACAGCTTTATGCCGTCTGTCCGTACTGACTGAATGTGTTGAGGTGGATCAGCAGGGACAGACTGAGCTGTGTTACTGCAGCAGAGTCTCACACACATAAATCAGTCTGCAGGCTCCAGCAGGACGGCCTCTCTACTGACCCTCACACACACACACGCACACACACACACACACACACTCTCACACACACACGCACACACCCTCATACACACACTCTCTCACACACTCTTATACTCTCTCACACACACACACTCTCACACACACACAAGAATGTGTCAATAACACCCAAACACACTGCACAATACTCTCTCTTTGTACACTCTGACCTCCTCACAGCTGCTGGATGTCGCTCTCAGACTCTCGCTGATGATCAGTTTCTGTTTCCCGCCGCAGGAAGACGCAGCGAGAAGCTCTCGTCATGGGAACATCCTCATGCAGCTAATTTGCATGTTCTTCCACAACATGCAAATTAGCTGCATGCCAGCTGCTCCTTATGTACCAGAGGCCATTTAAATACTGTCCGTTTACAGAAAGCTGTAACTGTCTTCTGGAGTTTGATTCTTTCTATTTTCACCTGATTTAATATTCAAACATTTACCGTTTGTTTCTTCTTTATTGAAGTTTTCAGCTCATGTTTTCTTCTTCCTCTTCTCTTTTAGTTCACTTCTGCACCTTCAAGGAGAAGTTCATCAGTCTGTACTGCCGCCTGTCCTCCGTCCTCGACCTGGACGCCCTCATTACCCAGCAGGCACTGCGGGAGGCCATCACCGACAGCGAGGTGGCCACGGCGAAACAGAGGCACCAGCTCATACTGGACTACATCCAGGTAGGAAGCAGGCAGATCCTCTCAGTCTGAGAGTCCAACAAACCCGTAACTGGATCTTTAAATTAACCTTTTAGTTCAGAGGTCATCAGAGAGCAGAGTGACCTCACAGCTCCAAAGTCTCTGAAACAGGAAGCACTTCAGGTTACTTCCTCAGCCGGACCCGGTACCGAACCCAATCTCAGAGACCGGCAGGGAATCCAGCACCGAGGCACTGAACCTCAGCTCTGTGTGCTGCTCCCACTTCCTCCTTAACTCTGCTCAGTAGCGCCCCCTACTGGCAACCGGCGAGTTAAAGTCCAGGTGAAATTAAAAAGTTAACCTTTAAGGTCACTTCCTGCGTTATATTGTACCTCCCTTTATTTTAATTATTATTATTATTGTTGTTCTATGTAAGAAAGAGTAATTGAACAGTTGTGGTCTGACTCCATGACGTCGCGGCGGGACCGTCGGACTCGTAAATGTTCGAAAGCAGACGAGAACCAATCAGCTCGCGGTTCATCAAAGAGGATTATTTTAATAAATCTTGTTTTCAATATCATTTCATTTCATATTCGGTGTTTTTCTGAAGGGAATGACATAATAAATGGAGGCGGTGTGAAAGCAAATGAGTTGGTAATCCAATTTGGGACGTTTATTGATGCAATAAAGAAGAACTGCTGCGAGCGCTCGCCGTCAAACTGCTGCTCGCCGTCCGCCCGCCAAAAGTATGAGAGTGAACTCGTCTGGAGATTTCTCTGTGAAGAGCTCACCGCCGCCGTTAATGGAGGCCGACCACAAAACCACACGGGTCCTCCGACCGCAGCGCTGCCAGAGAGAGAGTGTGTGTGTGTGTGTGTGTGTGAGAGCAGCTGCACGTAGTGGAAGAAGTATAAAATGTGCTTTATACGTTAACCCCCCGCTGTGTGTCTCTGTGTGTGTCTGAGTGTGTGTGTGTGTGTGTGTGTGTGTGTGTGTGTGTGAGAGCAGCTGTCTCACTCTCTGTCTGCGATTTTAAAGCTCGGAAAAAAGTGCCCCCCCGACCACAAATTGCTCAGAGAGAGAGGGAAAAAATAATACCAATCAGTGTGTGTGTGTGTGTGAACAGGGCCACGTCTGTCAGCACAAACATTAGGACTTGTGTACTTGTGAGGACCCTCATTCTTATAATACGTTCACAAACCATCAAAATGTCCTCACTTCACTTTATAAAACTCAGAAATGTTCACTTTGTCTCTTCCTCACTCTGGACATCCAAAGATGTTCTCATTTAAAAGTGTCCTTACTTCTATACTTACGAGGACCCTATAATAGTTATAATACATTCACTACCCCGACCCCAACGTAAACCTGAAACCACGGTTTTCCCCTCAAACAGCTCGCTTTCAAATCTCTCCTGTATCTTTACGTCAGCAATGTTATAGAAACATCTTCAGTTACAAAACTCAAACTGGTCCTCACAAA